TTTGTTGAGATGGTCAACATCATACAGAGTTCATATGATGGATTACACTGCAAAATCGTGCATGGAGGACAGTTGACAAAGTCGCTCGAAGTGAAGACCGGTGTTAGGCAAGGTTGCTTACTCTCACCCTTTCTCTTTCTGCTGGTGATCGACTGGATCATGAAGACATCAAAATCTGAAGGGAAGCACGGGATACAGTGAACATTTAGGATGCAGTTGGACGATCTAGACTTCGCAGATGATCTGGCTCTTCTATCCCAAACGCAACAACAAATACAGGAGAAGACGAACAGTGTGGCAACAGCCTCAGCAGCAGTAGGTCTCAATATACACAAAGGGAAAGGCAAGATTCTCAGAAACAACACAGCATGCACCAATCCAGTCACAATTGACGGAGAAGATTTGGAAGATGTAAAAACCTTTACATAACTGGGCAGCATCATTAATGAACATGGTGGATCTGATGCAGTTGTGAAGGCGCGGATCGGCAAAGCAATAGCAGCATATTTACAACTGAGGAACATCTGGAACTCAAAGCAACTGCCAACCAACACTATGGTCAGGATTTTCAATGCAAATGTCAAGACAGTTATACTGTATGGGGCAGAAACCTAGAGAACTATGATAGCCATCATCCAGAAGATACAGGTGTTTATTAACAGTTGTCTACGCAAAATAGTTCGGATCCATTGGCCGAACACTACTAGCAACAGCGTGCTGTGGGAACAAACCAGATCCCAGCGGAGGAGGAAATCAGAAAGAAGCTCTGGAAGTGGATAGGACACACATTGGGGAAAGAACCCAACTGCATCACAAGACAAGCCCTCACATGGCATCCTCAAAGCCAAAGTCAGTCAGTCAGTCAGTAACAACGTAGAACTTCATAAGTACGTACGTCAGTTCGAGTTGCCACACCACATTAGCACAGAGATGCAGTGGTCGATTCAAATCCCGTAGTGGTAGATGTAATAAGAGTAAAAGCAGTAATCGGGAAGATTAGTGTTTGGAGATGTTACTTAAAGAGTATAATACAGTGAAATAAATTTGGGAAGAGAAAAAAAAGTAACAAGGAGGAATAAGGAGATCAGAATTTGGGAGAACACAAAGAGTGTATGCTCCTGCGCCATTGCAAACGATTTTGAGCCATGTCATTCAGGGTCTCTAATCATCGGTTGCTATCATCTCGCGGTCCCCAACCAGGGTAGTCTACACCCACCAACATGGCTCAGTCCACTTGTCAGTGACTTCGTGGACTTGTGCCATGTTTTGGTCTGGCCGCCCTTAGCTTTCTTCCAACCTACTCCTATACCACTGAACATCGCATATCGAGGCAGTCGGTGGTTGGGCATACTTAACACATATCCTAGCCATCTCAACTAATGAAGTTTCAATACTTCATCAATTGATTTGCCATCCTTACCTAGTACCCGTTCCCTAACAACTGAGTTACTCGGTGATCCCAGAGTATACGAGCAATGTTTCGAAGACACCCATGATGAAATACTAGTAACCTACTCTTACAAGCCGTGTTTCACTGCCATAAAGTAGAACAGAACGAACTGCTGCGCAGTAAACACGTTCTTTGGTTGGTAGACGGATATCTCGTCTACGCCATAAATGACGCAAGTTGACAAAAGCTAGTCGAGCCTTCTGTATCCGTGCTGAGATTTCGTCACACATCAGACCACAAAAGCTGATGAGACTCCCAAAATAAGTAAAGCGATCGACACGTTCGACTACTTCACCCCCTATAATTAATTCGGGTGTCGATACAACCCAATCCTGAAGCAACGTTTTTGCATTTCGAGGGCGAGAATCGCATCCTGAACATGCCTGCATTGTTGCTTAGAGTGGTCAGAAGACTCTGCATTTTGTCAGCGTCTTCACCAAATAAAACGATGTCATCAGTATATTCTAAGTCAACAAGTGAATCTCTCGGTACAAGTTTAACCCCTGGAAAGTCAGATGTGAAAATTGATATCTCTAAAAGCACGTCAAGGACAAAGTTAAACAAGAATGGAAAGAGTGGATAGCCCTGACGAACACCACTTGAGGTAATCAGTTCGCCATAAGCCCTCACTCGATCAGATATGTTCGAGAAGAGAACCTGTATAAGGTTAGTGTACTTCTTTGGTACTCCTTTCAGTGACAAACACTGCCATAGAACCTCACGATCAACAGGGTCGAATGCTGCCTTAAGATCGAGAAATACTATGATTGTGGGGCGTCTGGATGTGTGTCTATGTTCCAGGACCTGACGTAGTGTGAATATCTGGTCTATACAACCACGTCCAGATCGGAAACCAGCCTGGTTTTCTCTAGTCTGCTCTTCACGAGCTTTAGTTGGGCGGAGAAGAATTATTGAAGCTAATATTTTAGACACTGTATTAGTCAAACTGATTCCTGTGTGATTGTCACAAGAGGACTTTTGTCCTTTCTTATTGACTGGCACAATCAGTGATTGAGACTAGTCAGATGGGATTACGTCCAGTTCTCAAATTCTACCTAAGACCTCAGTCAATCTCGCTGCTAATACTGAACCACCATCCTTAAAACTCTCAAAAGTAAACCTGTCAGGGCCCGCTGCTATCCCACGCTTCAGATTTCCTATAAATATCTCAACTTAGTAAAGGGTTGGAGGACTTACATCAACTTGCCATTCAGGTTGACTGGAGATCGTGGGAAACCGAAGTGTGGCTGAAGGCCAGTTGAACTGATCCCTAAAGTGTTCTACCCATAGATCCAATCTCCTGGATTGAGAATGTATAATATGTCCATCTTTTTTCTAGATAGTTTCGCTAACAGTCGAGCTCCTAATACCAGTTTCCTTACCAAGTCTGAACAGTTGTCTGATGTTACCTATTGCCGCTGCCTTTTCCATCTGTCTTGCTTTCGCTACCCATCACTGTTTACGATCATTGCGTAGGCTTCTTGTCAGCTTGCGCTTAAGCTGACTCTGCTCTTCGTTATGCTCAGAGCCAGATGGAATGGGTTTTTGAGCATCTATCACAGTGGTAGATGCTGCTGAGATCCAGTGTTGCTCCCTAACCTTCTGGTTTGCCTTACTAACAGATATCACTGCTGTTTCCACAGCTTTTCGGATATCATCTCATGCTGCATCGGGGTGGGCATCACATACATGGCTGCCTAACATTTTTCCTAGTTGTTCCTGAACTATACCCTCAGCATGACTATCATTAAGTAGGGTCCTAAGAGGTTTCCTTGCAGCGTCTTTCCTACATCCAGCAAGACGCAGACAAATACTCACCTGAATCTAAGCATGTCCTCCAGAATGAGCGGTAGTCTTCTATTGAGCCCCTCCATCGGCGGCTGATAGCGATGTGATCTATTTGGGTCCAACGTTGGGACGAATTCGGGGGTCGCCATATTAAAAGATGTTTTTCTCTATGCTTAAAGTTATTATTTGCAAGAAACAGGCGGTTATCTGAGCATAGCTGCAACAGACGGTCATCATTATCTGTTCTTTGAGCCACGACACCATAAGATCCGCCCAGGTGTCTTTCCCTTTTGCTTAGTTTACCTACTTGAGCATTAAAGTCATCGGCCACTATTACTACATCCGAGCGCTTAGCTTTTAGGAGGGCTTTCTGTAAAACTCATTTTTTACATCATCTGAGCTGCAATCAGTGGGAGAATAGGCAGAGACGACGAAGAGGCAACGACGAGTGTCCCTATCTTTTCGGATCCTTACTGTTCCGTTCAGTCGGACAGCGCACAAACGACTGTCTACTGGGATCCACTCTAAGAGAGCTAGTTCTGCACTAGGACTCAATGCTATGCCTACGCCGGCGAGGCCACGGGAAGCAGAATCAGGTCTTTCAGATACACGAAGTGTGAATCGAGTCGGTTCTTCAAGGCCAAAGGAAAAGAGGAAGACCAAACAACACATTACGCCGGGAAATGGAAATAGACATGAGAAAAATGAACAAGAATTGGATGGAACTAGAATAGAAGGCCCAAGACAGAGTGGGTTGGAGAATGCTGGTCGGTGGCCTGTGCTCCATTGGGAGTAACAGGCCCAGATATATATATATATATATATATATATATATATATATATATATATATATATATTTGTTGAGGTTAATTTATTCTTTTTCCAATATTTGTTGATGTTATTATCTTCTTCTAGTGATTTTTATGATAATTCAGTTCCTTATGTACCAATGTGCAAGCTTCTAAATATTTTCAGATAGTTTTATTTATAAACATATGTGTTTTCTCGTCATCGATGTTGAAGACTGAGATTGGTTACTTTCTTTCCGCAAATATAAATCTTGAATGGTTTGTCTCGATACCAACATTTTCCCGGAGGCTTTTTTTAAAATATTTGAGTTATAGTTAGCAGTGGAACACATAATACTCATTTAATCCTATTTATAACTCTTTAGCTGGATTTTCTTGAATCCTAGTGGTGAAGTCTTTACAGAGACTTCGGTCCACAAAACAAAAACACTAATGAATACGCAACATATCTATTATACAGGTTAATGACTATTTTATCCAGTAGCTTAGTCGATAATATGTTATTGTTCATATCGAAAGAGCTCAGCTCGAGCCTTGGTTTGAACATCAGTACTTCGACAAAGGTACATCTAGCCGATGTGTTCCCGTAAAGATGCAACGTGTTTCCTGGGTTCCACTGCTAACCAATATCCAGCTTTGATTAATACTCAGCTTGTTTTCTTGCGAATTCGGACGTTGTGATGCATTAAATATTTGAAAATTAACTATTTTTATATCGTACATTAATGTATTTTCTGATAGTCACTTTATTTTGACACAGTTCATCGAATCAAAATACATTTGTAAACAGTTTATTTTACATGAATATGTATTACTACATATTTTGTTGCTAAGCTAGTCTGTTTTAAGTGATGAGGACATTTTAATCAAGCTTAGTGAAACGTGAGAATTCCTTAGTTGATGGATAAAAGTAAAAATTAATATATCTTTTTGCCTACCTCTAATTCTCATAGCTGAATTTAATGACTGGTTGGAGATAATTCATTTGTAGTGAACAGAACATGGGTGAGAACAATCGAATCAATTAGCACAAAATTACAGAATTACTTGGTAAAATAGAAAAACCATACTATAATACTTAATTTGTAAAATGTTCAATAATTGTCTCGAACTTCGTTGTTCTTGCATTTCCATAGTAATTGCTTTCTATTCCCGCTCTTCCTTTCTTGATCTTCCCCATCTTCTGCTGCCAGGCATTACATTTCTGACTCGCGTTATATACTACTTATATCAATATAAGTAGCACGCACCACACATTCACTAGAGTTTTTTTCGATTACGGTGTCATGGAGTAAAGTGGAGTGTTGGATGTGTACTTCGTTAAGTGGTTAGAAGTAGCCAACAGGAAACGGGTTCTATGCTAGTTAGCATTCGTCAGCAACCAGTACCAACAATCTTGAGGATATTGATATTCCATCAGTCAGTCAGTCAGTAGCAACGTAGAACTTCGTACGTACATACATGAGTTCGAGTTGCCATACCACATTATCACACAGATACAATTGTCGATTCAAATCCCGTAGTGGTAGACGCAGTAAGAGTATAAGCAGTAATCGGAAAGATTAGGGTTTGAAGATGTTGTTCAAGGAGTATAATCCAGTGAAATTTGGAAAGAGAAAAAAAGGGACATAACTTTGTGGTCGGGTTCGCCTATCGTGATGACCCAACCAAGCTATATTGGCTGGAACATATGTTCCTGTAGGTTCTACCACGCCAGGCAGGTCGACTGGAGAACGGTAAGACTAAAAGCAGCAACTCAAGGTCTGAGGGCTGACTTTAGAGGTATGTGACAGCAGTAGGGTGTTTCCTTCTGTCAACCAGCATCTGCAGCGATGCTGCTTTCTCATAGGGAAGGGTGGGATTAGAATAGATCGACTCCAAAATTTTCATACTTCACCTTACCTCACGGATTTCCGTCCCCGGTGGTAAGGTCCTTTGAAGAACGGAGCTAACATTAAAAATCTCCCACAAAAAGGCCGTTCGTGACCGGCCTCAAGTAGTTGTCCCTTGGGCCCTGCGGTTACGCTCCCAGGTCACTAAGACCAACAATAATCCAACTTCCTTTTCAGGTTCTCCAAGAAGTACCCTTCCACGGTGTGGGCAGCCAGGAAGTGACATCAGCCCTCATACCACGTTGGTCACATTCAAATCCTTCAAATTGATATTCCTTATGGAATCTAAACCTGAGTAATCAAATTCCATAGCTTGAAATATTACCACCAGTGACTTCCTTAAGAATGAAGATATTTACGGTTGGTTGGCCACTGAGTAGTGACCAATATCATGTTTGTTTAGTCTATAAGTGCTAATGGAATTCTGTTGATCGTTATTATTTCTCTATTTTGATCTTTTTTAAAATTATTTGATCCCTGAGAAATTGGAACCGGTGTCGTTCTTCTTTGTAGCTTGAGACATTATTATTGAGCTATCCGAAGAGCGATTTCGAGTTATTCAGATTAATGGTTATTATCGTAACTTAATAGATATAATTCAATCATCGGTAGATGACTAGACAAACATGTCACTGGTCACCATTTAGTTTTTTATGCAGTTTTCCCTGTTTTTTTTTGTGAATTCGGTTATTATTATAAATATTAATGGATTAAATAATGCAATATGTTAATCATATATCTTTATTAATAATATTGTCAAAAATATTGTATTTTTATCCGAAGTAAAAATAAATTTATTTGTTAACTTAGCCACTTCACATTTTATTTTTATCCTACATTTCCTATAGGAGACGGAGTAATTACGTTAGATGAACTTAGTAATTATTTATTACTGCACGAAATCCACTTCGCACATTGACCAATGAAAATGTTGAATTTTTATCAAAATCATATGAATTAAATCATATTGATTTCATATATTATAGTGCGATCAATTGAAAATATTGATTTTAAACTGAGATTTAATTGCGGTCCATATATATATATATATATATATATATATATATATATATATATATATATATATATATATATATATATATATATATATATATAGAAAGATAATTCCCATACCATATTTTATTTATGTACATCATGTATAAACTTAATAATACACACATATACTTTATCATCTAGATATTGTGATAATTGAATTTCTAACCCTACATGGCTATTTAGCCCAATATATCTTTTTCTGGAGCAAAGATTTATACTTATTTATAACAGGGATACTTTAAAATCATAAAATTTATTCTCTTTCTATCATTGTTATTATCTAATCGATTATATTATTATTATTATTATTATTTCATCTCACTTTAGCACCGTTGTTTTATTCACCTTCGAATTAATAATTTACCTTATTTTTATCCTTCCTAATGATTTTTTTCTCATATTATATATATATATATATATATATATATATATATATATATATTTGACAGTACTATTGAATAATTAACTACATACATACCTTTCTACATTGCAATAAATGAACAATATTACCTGTCATTCTAATGTCATATTATCCTTAACTCATTAACATTTTATAAGAAAATGCATTCAGTACGCATCTGTGAATCAAAACGTAAATTTATTATTTTTTTTCAAATATATATATTACAGTAACTGTTTACAGAAATCGAAAGGAATAGTGAGAAGGATTGTTTATTCTAGGTTTTCATTTTCTGAACTTGCTGTATAAAAATAACAAATTATTGGACTGATCAAAATGCAGTCTTAAACATCTATTAAGATTGACTCTGCCTTTTGTTGATGAGTGGCGACTAGTCCGAAACCTGTTTTAATAATTACATATTGCTGAATTACCGCAACTTTCCAGCATAAATAGTAATATCACAGGTTGTGATAAGCACAAAATGACATGGGTTAGAATCTTACCTAAAACGTCAGGTATTTCAAGTTTGCAGATATGTCTTGCTGATTGGTGATAATTTGTATGAAACGTACGTTTAGGCCTACTTAACAGTTGCCTTCGTCTACATGAAATTAAAAGTAGTTCAGCTTTAATACAACCTTAAATCACTATGCTTAAACCGTTTCAACTGGCTTGTTTAGTATCAATAACCTACTCGATTCCACTATCAATAGGATGCAATCAGATAATGAGAATTAGACAACCGACCTAACCTTTACGTGATTGACTCGATAATTCACATAATTATATATTTAGATTATTTGCCTTAAACATTTTCTTATTAAAACTCACATATGATTGACTAAAACACGGTAATATAATAACAAGTAGTTTCTTACTTGACTGTTAAGAATTAAAACATAAAAAACTCATAAACTAAATTTTTGATCAAAAGACTTTTTAAAAAACACTTACTTACGCCTATTACCCCCAATGGAGCATAGGCTACCGACCAGTATTCTCTAACCCACTCTGTTCGTTCTAGTTCTATACAATTGTTGTTCATTCTTTTCATGTCTGTCTCCACTTCTTGGCGTAACCTATTATTTGGTCTTCCTTTTCTCCTTTGGCCTTGACTATTCCAAGTGAGGGCTTGCTTTGTGACGCAGTTAGGTGCTTTCTTCAATGTGTGTCCTATCCACTTCCAGCGCTTCTTCCTGATTTCTCCCTCCGTTGGAATCCGGCTTGTTTTCCCCCACAGTAGGTTGTTTCACATAGTGTTTGGCCAACAAATCCGAAGTATTTTGCGTAGACAGCTGTTAATAAACACTTGTATCGAGATTTAGATGGTGGTTGGTGGTAGTCAACAGGAAACCCTGGACCCGGGTTTCGTGCTACTTGGCACTCGTCAGTTGTATCTTCTGGATGATGGCTTTCGTAGTTCTCCAAGTTTCCGCCCCATACAGTAGAACTGTCTTGACATTTATATTGAAAATTCTGTCTTTGGTGCTGGTTGACAGACATTTGTTTTGAGTTTCAGATGTTCTTCAGTTGTAGAGATGCTGCTCCTGCTCTGCCGTTCTGTGCCTTCACATCTGCATCAGATCCACCATGTTCATTAATGATGCTACCCAGATATGTATAGGTTTTAACATCTTCCAAAGCTTCTCCACCAAGTGTGATTCGATTGTTGCATGCCGTGTTGTATAGAAGAATCTTGCTTTTCCCTTTGTGTATATTGAGACCTACTGCTGCTGAGGCTGCTGTTATTCTGGTTGTCTTCTCATTATTAAAAAATACAGATCACTCAAAGAGAAAATAACTTCAAAAATTTGTTGTTCTCATTTGATGGTTATTGTCTTAACAAGTCGAACGTTCGGTCACATAGTATACAGAATAGGTAAAATTTATTTCAATATTTGCTCACTAGTGACTAGCTTCAAGATGGATTTCCTGGAGTTTTGGTGACCAGTAGATTCCAATCCATATCTGGTGGTGACAGTTACCTACCACAGACAATGTATGAAGAGTTGCGCAAGATCATTGATAGATTGAAGTTAAATATTAACACTGTTAAATACCGGCCTAGTGATCTAGAGGTTAAGCGTTTGCGCGCGAGACTGAAGCTCTTGAGCTTGAGCGATCGCGCATGCGGGATCGTGGATGCGCACTTCTGAGGAGACCCATACTAGGACGAAAAGACTTTCCAGTGCTTTCAGGTTTCCAGCGTTAGTCTACCTTGGATCGACACATGAATTCAACCATTAAAATTACTACAGTTACCACAGATCCCCATTCTGATGAAATTTACTTTATCGAAAAGAATTCAAGAACATTGTCCGGCGTGGCTAAAAAGAGGAGGCAACGGCTCGATAAGAAGTTCAATAATCGAACACCTTGTGAACACAGTTCACTCAATCAAGACAGACTCTACGTTTAAAGTCATCTACAAAGTAAGTAGAAGCCTTCCTAAGACAATTAGACTGCACCTTCTTTGCATTGCAGAGGCAATAGCCATACATTTTGAAAAACCAGAATTATGTGTACAAAAGAGATTGGTACAACCTCTTCTTCTACCATGGTCTTAATGTATTAAAATTTTTTTCTCTTTCTTCATACTCTTGTTCCCTTACAGCCACCTGCTCCACCTTCCATCTTCCTTTCAAATCTTCTGCCCCCAATCGGTTTGTTTTTATTTCCAGGATCATTTCAATTACATTTCATTTCTGTTTCAACATTTTATTTTATCATGCTGAGCAATCCTTACCTAATGAATATTTAAGCCATTAACTATCAAACGATTATTAAACTTTCCTTGTTTTAAAATTTTTTTCTAATACCTTTGTTTATTGAACCTCACTCTCACAATGTACAACAAAAGTTTATTATCAGTATTATTATCACCCTGTAAAAATAAGTATATATATTTGCGATTGTACAGCTTTGAAAATGAATTCGCCGAAAAGAGAACTCTTCGCTGAACTAATTTTTCTTTCTTATTTAATGTCATAATGGGTGTATTCCGTTTATTAAGAAATTTATTTCATCATAAAAGATGCACAAAATGGACATCATTGTAAGGGCTCCGTAGGTATTTCGCAAATTTTATAGTTTATATCACTTAATGATTTTAAATAGATAGCAAGTGAAAATTAGTTAGTACTGGATAGTTGTTTCCTCTAAAAATAAGGTTCGTCTCCAGTCTCCAGTCATGACTGCATTGAGAATTGTGCTCAGCAACATCAAGTATTGTAGCAAGCAAATCTAGGTGGATA